CTCAAGACTAGAATTAATTATGACTTATAAAACTATAGTTTTATAAGTAATAATTAATATTATAATAATAATAATCTTACAATTCCTCATTTAAACTTAAGATAAATTATTACCTACTGGTTTTGAGGAATTTGTTAATATCACTGTTAACAATATTATTAATTTAATGTGTAGGTATCTCAGAGACATGGCTGAACGACAGCATATCGGACAATGTTATTAATGTACCTAATTATAATATTTTAAGAAACCACCGCGATGGCAGGGGTGGAGGTGTAGGCTTGTATCTGAAACATTGCATTTAAAAATTTTAAGAAACAAAGCTGGAAAACATATTTTTAATTCTGACGACTCGTCATGACGATAATTAAAGTGTAGGATGAAGAGTCTCGTCATTTTTTTCAGTATTCTCAAATAATTGGAAAGGATTAATGTGAACAATTTTTTACATTCCTTCAGTAATTTTTCAATAGCGCCTGGCTAGCTAGCCTAGGAAGTCGGTCCAGTTATCGCACCATTCAATTTTGAAAAGAGATGCCTAAGGCATCATGTCTTAGAGGCAATTCAGTAAAATACAGATAATCTATTGTAAAGGCTAATTCAATTGTTTTTCTAACAGTCGTATAACACCGCTCCAGGCTAGAGCCCAAGCACTACAAAGAGGCCTCTTTTCCCTTTCGTCAAACATGCATATTCTTGAACTACATATGTTTTGTTACATATGTGCCTAGGCCCTTTAATTATTTCGTCTATAAAGAATTTTTTAAACATCCATGTTTATAAACATCATCGGTGTCTAATTCGCTATTTGGTGAACATACATGATGTTTGAAAACGTATGTTTACGAACGCTTGCCTAAGAGGTGTTGTCAGCTGTTAGATTAATTAAAACTAAAACCTTTTAAACCATAATTTTACTACAATCCATGCCAAATCAGGCTTACAAAATTAATATGTGCGTAGGGTTATGTATCTCAACCAAGAATGTCCCGTTTTGTCGACCTCGTTCCCCAATTCCGTCACTGCTCCTCTTTGTACTTCTAGACTCAACAACCATTAGGCACTTATCACGATTAAACGTACATTTGGCGAATTCCACATTACTGTTGCTAACACAGCCAATATTTGAGGTTTTTTTATTTTAATTAATCATAAATTGCGGCGATGTTTTATTAATTATAATATTATTATTATTATAAATGATAAATAATTATTTATATATGAGAATAGGAGAGATAACGTAAGGGGTCACACCAAATAAATAAATATTTTTTTTGCAATATTAAAAATATTTTTATAATTTGTTTTTTTAATTATTAAATTGTATTTTTTAATTATCATAATAATACAAAAATACAAATTTTGCTTTAATAATATGTTTGATAAAATTTTAAAAAAATTAACAATATAACAGTGTGTCTCAAAACGACTCCTAAAAACTATATTTTATGAAAAAAATTAAACAAATATGAATTATCAAATACCTATGTAATGTCACACAAAAGTATAAAAACTAATAAATTCAAAAAAATATGCATCTAAAAACTAATCTCAAATTTTTTCCTCGAATGGGAGCTAAGACTTTTATGTTTAATTTTAAAATCTTTTTAAGGTTTTATCAATACCTTTTAAAACCTCTAAACCAAAGAACTTTTTACACCTACGCCACTCGTCAAAGTTTGAGTTGGACCTTCCCTTGGCCTATTTTTGCCTCTTTTTTGAAGAAGGGGCCCTTCCACATAGCCTGTGTTGACCTTAAAGGCTGGTAAATACTAGAGTTGGTAATCCTTCCACCACTAACTTCCCTGTTAGGGCTGGTAATTTATCCTCAATGTCCTTAAGTTGTTTAGTGGCTCACCAACAATGCCAGTTTCCATGTGTAAATGCGTAGTTTCCTTGCCAAGTTACTAAAAGTCTGTGTAAAAATAAGTAAAAAATAATTATTTTAAGAAATTTTAAGATTACCCTTTTTCATTTAAGGATGGACTTAATGGCCCCGACAGAAGATCTGTTTGGCTAGTTCAGCATATAACGTTTTTCCCACGTATTTTTAGAATTTCTGGATTTTCTTAAGTTGGTTTTAAGATCATTTTATATATTAAATATCATGATGATTTTTAAAATAATTACTTAACACAATTTTAGTTTATGATCTGCGACTTTTAGGTTATAAAACTAATACTAATACTCCTACAAACATTTATAGCTGTTCAGAAAGGTTGTCGTTGGGTGAACATACATGTTAAAAATTGATTTTTATGAACAGCAAGTAAAGGAATAGACCTTTGAGGCTGTTAATGTTGAAGGTTTGTTTACTTATATTATGTTTTAAGCTGGCTGTTTGCCGTTGTTGTAGTTTACCTACACTGCTCGAATGCCCCTGATCTCAGATACTGATCTGTGAAAGTAGGTACTGAATCAAAAACTCTGGGATAGTTTTAGGTTATGTTTTGCTTAAATAAAATTTGAACCAGATGTGTTCATACTTTCAACCTTTACAGGTTTATTTTAGTATTACATACTCCAACTATACTTCCCTACTATGGAGAAAGGCTGTATACAGAAAAAATTCTAAATGCGATTTCTTGTGCTATGATAAAGCTATATACATTTTGTATCCTAATTCAACAAAGAAATGCAGTAAACTTTATTATAACTTAAATAAATCAATTAAATACCTACTTCTTTTTATAAAAATGTGGTTTATGCTAATTTTCCACAAATTTCTTGTTTAGCAGTTACTGCCTTTATCCATAGTTGGGTAGTATATTAATCACCCTTTATAAGTCAATATTACATGGTGCATCATTTTTGATAATGTATTGTATTTATTTCACTTAGGTATTATGTTTAGTAAAAAAGAAGTCACATAATTGTTTTATTGTTGTTATTGTTATAATAAACCACATAATTAATTATTTAAAATTATTTTTTATTTTAAATTAGTATAGGTATTTGAAGTTTCTTTATTAAATAACACTTTTAAATAAGTCTTGTCTTGGTTTCAAAGTTAGCCTTGCGTTCACACAATGCCCGACTAATAAATGTTAGCCGTTTGCGCTGCTTTATTAAAGAGCTTAAAAGTTTCAGGACTTTACAATGGCACCCAATGTATTTAAAAAAAAAACTTAAAAGAGTTAAACTAGTTACAATACCACCTGTTATAATAACAGAGGTATTAAATAGTTATGCAAATAATAAATAACACAAAAAAATGTATTTAAAGTAATAAATGTAAAAAATATAAATATATATGTAAAATAGTTGACTTTTATTAATTTGCCCCATCCTACATATCTAAAAAAAATTAATTATTATTATTTTGGCATATATGCCAAAAGTACCGATTGGTATATATACCGTGAATTTTAAAAGTTAATTTTATGAAAAAATACACCTTTGCTAGACAAGTATTCTGAGAACATTTTTATTCCGTATATTTAGACAGCGCCTACTAAGTTTAAGAGATAAAAAAAAAGTTTAAATACAAACGTTGCAGGGGTTTGTCCTAAATTCAATTAGTATACTAATATTAGTATACTAATATATATATAGTAATATTATATATATATATAGTAATATAGTAATATATAGTAATATATAGTAATATTAGTATACTAATATATATATTGACAGAAAATGCAAGGTTAGTAAAAAATACAAATTTGGCAAATCTTCAATGGAACCCTGTATATTATTTTTTTCCTGAATTCATCAAAAATATTAAATAGGTTAAGCCGTTTTTTAAATATTTGCATTTTAAAAACGTAATTATATTGACTTACCAAATCGTAGTTGCCATGAAAATTATTTGGATTTTTGACAAACCCTACAACTTCTGTATTTAGTTTTTTTCTATCTCTTATAAAATAAACTCAGTAGGCGCTGTCTAAATATTCGGAATCACCCTGTACCTATTTATAAATAATTTTAATTTGAATTTGGGCACAAAAAATTAAAATAACTGGTTAATTTACTATAGCTAATTAAAATAAATAACAAAAGTTTAACCATATTAAAATAAAAACTAGGTAGTTTTAATTGTAAAAAAATGGTCCTTTTAAACTAGAAAGTATCTAATTGTGTTGTTTTGGACTGTCGTCATGTTCTATTTAGTGATCTCTAATCGTCCTCAGGTTATAATGAAAAAATATTTAGAAAATTCTTCTTTACGTGTGCAATGCAAACTGTGCATCTCACTGAACTCCTAAACGGCTGTATCAATTTTGATGTGGGTTCCACACAGAGCTGGGAGTATCTTGGAAAAAAGATACTTAAAAGTAACTAAGATACTTTCGAACATTATCTTTGATACTTTTTAAAGTATCTTGTAACTAAAAATACTTTTAACTCAAAGTATCTAGTTACCAGAGGTAACTAAGTTATTTTGTTTAAAGTATCTTAGAAAAGTAACTAGATACTTTTCAGAAGTAACTTTCCCAGCTCTGGTTCCACACTGGTTTGATGTATACACTAGGGATGCTAAAAATGTTGTTGTTTTGATTAAAATATACTTTTTATTCAGTTTGTTTCTTTATGCAGAAGTTTTGTATTTGTTCCAAAATATTTTACCATTATCACAAGAAGATTAGAGACCACTTATCGCAATGTAGTGAAATCACAGTTTAAAACAACGCAATTATATCAACTTCATCTACACAAATCCATTCTACATAAATTTTAACTATTTTAAATTTATTGGAATTTCGTGATAAAAAATTACAATAGAATTCAATAAAACCTACCTTCTTCTAAAGTCAAGTCAAATCCAAGACGGACTAAAACAAAAAACGCCAGACGCGTGATCAGTCGTTTGCAGGTGGATAGAACGGTTCTTATTGGGCGATTCTGAGTTGTGAAGCGTGCCGAAAATTCTTGCCAGGGCCGCATTGGTTATTTGGTTTTTATTGTTATTATTATTATTCAATTAAGTGCGATGTCTAGCACAGACGAAGCTGAACATTTTGAGGACTTAAGCCCTGTTAAAAAACGGTCTAAAAGAAATCACTTAAGTGTGGAAATAAAAGAGGTTATTATAAATGTTTTCATTAAACTTTAATTATTAAAGTTTAAAACAATAAATTTAAAATAATTTTCAAAAATTTCGTGAAGTTAATTTAAAAAATATAATTTTCGTAAAAAATTTAAAAAGTTTACATTAAAGTTTAAAAAAATAAAGTTAAAATAATAATGAAATTATTTCCCAAAATTTTGTTAATTTCGTAATTTAAAAAATATAAATTTTATAAATATTTTAAAACCTTTCCATCAAAGTTTAAAAAAATAAATTTAAAATATTAAATGATCAATAATATTGATTCAATATATTTTAATACGGCCCAGTGCAACAATTTTCGTCGATCACGTGAATAGAGCATGGACAACTTATGATTGTGTTTATGTAGAGTCCGGCTTGGATTTGACTTGACTTTAAGTAGGTATACTAATATATATTAAAACTATTCCATCAGTTCTACTTCCTTGTGTAAATTAATAATATATTCACACATATTATTTAAAATTGAACTTGCCTCTTCTTTACAAGAAATCAAGGCCTTATCCACAATTAAACCCAATTGAAACCTGTTATCGTATGTAAAAATGGAAAATCCTAAACCTAACAAAAATAAAAATAAATATTTACGTAAACAACTAGTATAGATTTACCAGTTCTTCCTCTGTTTGGTACCCAAAATATAACGTCCGTAAGGACACAACCATTGAAAATAGTTATTTTTTTAGAACCAGGTAAGTTGCTGATCCCCATGGTACATTTATTGAGATTAAGTAGAGCTCTGGTTACTGGTTCTGGTAAGACCGAAGTTATTACGTTCAAAAACCAATAATTTACCTACAAAAACATATAATGACGTTTTTCAATAATACGTCGTTTCACTCAACGAATGTAACCCTTAAAATGTTGCAAAAAGACAGCGCCGCAGCGGCTCGAGCAAATCCGGCGCTTCTTTTACCACCCGCGGGTACCAAATAGGTGTTTTCATTTTAAATATATTTTTTTGTCGAGTGGTTAATAATGCGCCAATAGTATTCGCAATTGTTAATAGTTTATTCATTTTTCCCGCTGTAAACAATCCCAGTCAGCATCCAATTCAGAAAGATTTCAGTATGAAGTCTTTTAAACAACTTCGTGTAGAAGTTCTAACTATATATAGTGATGCCGCGAGACGAGACGAGACGAGAAAAGTCCTTCTCTCGTCTCGTCTCGTGCAGCGAGAGAAAATGGGTCTCTCGTCTCGTCGAGAATACTCTTTTCTCGCTCGAGAGTGCCTTTCTCTCGTCTCGTCTCGTTTCTCTCGTGGTAAAAGTACCTATGTATGAATACAAAAATTATTTGCAATTAAATACGAATTCGTTTATATTTTTTCTATATAAATTTAAACTGGAAATAAAAAAAAATTGTGCCAAGACCACACTGATAAAGTAAGACTTTTTACGCCGAAAATGTCGCACATTTGAATCAAATGGTTGGATCTATGTGGAGTAGTTACATCTATAGATGTAACTGTAACACTGAGAAAAATGTTTATTGCTCCCAAATAAAAAAAATATTTAAATATGGGACAAGGGTACAGTATATTTATCCTAAATATATTTTTATTCCCGACACATAAAGTTTTACTAAAGTATATTTATCGTTATTATTTCGACTATTTAGAGGTAATAAACAATATATTCACTATTAATAAAAGGATTAGCTACACAGTTCATTTGTCCCATTTTTTTTCTCAGTGTAGTATATAGGCGCAGTAGTTTTCAGATGGATGGATCAAATCATCCATCCATCTGAAAACTACTGCGTCTATATGATGTAACTACTCCACATAGATCCAACCATCTTGTACCTACTGCGCATGTCCGTCATTTTAAATCCGCAATTTTGTTTTTTGAATGGATATCAAACTCTTAATCAGGGACCCCATAAATATCTAAATACTAAATTTTACCCAAACCATTAAAGCCGAACGACAAATTTTCGTCATATTGGATCAGCCATTTTATTTTTTGAAGAAATGGATATCAAATTTGTAATCAGCCCCTCAAAAACCACATATTGTTGATAAGTTCATTGAATAAGCAATGCTTATTAAGCATACGGGTTGTTTAATAGTATAAGGAGTGCCATAAATGTGCTTATACAGGGTAAATTTTAAAAATTAATATTATTTTATAAGTAATTTTTTTCTTGGTTAACCTTAAGTTGTGTTATAAAATAATAAAACGTTATACAGGAACAAATTTTGTTTATTATGAAATGCGAATAATGTTCTCATTGGTCCAAATAAATATCGCAAAATTAAAATTTTTATGTAAAAAAATTGTTTACTTATTACCGGAATAATCGAGAGAACGAGAGAGATCGAGAGAAACGAGAAATTCTCGAGCGAGAGAGGACATTCTCTCGTCTCGTCTCGAGCCTTTTTTTCGAGAGAAAATCTCCCTCTCGTCTCGTCGAGACGAGACGAGACGAGACGAGAGGCGAGAATCTCTCGTATCGGCGGCATCACTAGTTCTAACATGACATCTTAAACAGCTCCTTTTTATGAGCTCAGAATTCTGAGCTGTTAATGAACTCATAAATAAGAAGTCAATTTTTTTACGTACAAATGAAGATCTTTTCTTGACCTCTTTTTGAACAATTTATTTTGAGCTTACAGAGTATTCTTTTTTCTTACTTCCAATTGAAATCATACTATTAACTCTTTTAAAAGTCAACATGGATACGTCACATTTATGACATTTTAATGCGATTACTTTCTTCTCACCGCTGTAACTGCTTGTGTTTGATATAAGAAGCGGCGAAGTAGAATTTAGAGCGTGCTCCATACCAAACGGTCTTAGACCTAGGTAAACGGCTACCCGATACTGACAAGCTCCAAAAGAGCGAAAAAGGCCGTCTATCGGTGCCGGTGAAGAGCACGCTTGAATTTAAACAAAAGTGAAACGAAGTAATCGCAATTCCTAAAATAAGCGAATACGAGCAAATTATTAAAATGATTTTAATAAAATCAATTTAACAAATTAATAAAATTAATAAAATAAACTTGACATGTCAAAATAAGCAACGCAATTTCTTCATCAGTAGCCTAGTAGTACTTCTATATCCAAAACGGAAAATTCTAAATAAGTCTTTTTATAAGTTTATAGAGTAGGACTCTTTAAAATGCTTAATTGCGAAGTCAAAGAAAAGGGTTCCTCAAGAGTTCTTTTTTGAGAAGTCTTGATTAGTTCAATAGGTGGCGCATTCGAAGTCTTAAGAACTTCTTAAAAACTTCTTTCTGATATTGTATTTGACGTCCAAATCATAAAATAGAGCTTATGCAGACTTAATTAAGACGTCATATTGCTGTCTGGGATCTTATTCCTTCCCCTGTATATATTTTCATTCCCTCCCTGTTATCAGGTAAGAAAAGTTTCATTCCCTCCCGCTACCATGACAACGCTACAGTGTGATTGATTTTGAATGTAAACGTCAGAATTAAATTAAAGGTCAGACTTTAATTTTGACCCAAGTTTTTTGTGGGTACTCAAATGGTGTATTTGTAAGCGATTCAACTCGAAAAAAAAGTATAGTGTTTACATCGCAATTACTCCCTCAATGAATTTCTTTACTCGCCTATCGGCTCGCTCAGTAACTTTCATCTTCGGGAGTAATTGCTATGATTCCCCGCTCGGTAAAAATATACTATTTGCTTACAAATTCACAAAAAATAAAAGTAAAAACATGTTTCAAGATTTTAAAATGTATAGTTATCGAAGGTCGAATTTATAACTTCCTTCCTCACAAAAAACGCATATAAGACTTTCTGTAGCAGTGGCGGCTCGTGGTCAGTCGAATTAAAGAGGCTAATAAATTGCAAGTGTCGTAATTTTTTTTTAAGGCGCGTTCGCCATTTAAACAACTTGTCTGAAATTTTTGTGGCACCAAGATAAGACTATATATCTTACAAATAAAAGTAATACCTAACGAAGAAAACAAGCCATTTTACAAATAAAAGTAATACCTAACCAAGATAAGACTATATATCTTACAAATAAAAGTAATACCTAACGAAGAAAACAAGCCATTTTACAATCTCCCTACATTTTAATTTCTTCCAAAATTAAGAAAACGACGAACTTATAAGACTGATATATATATATATATATATATATATATATATATATTAGGGTGTTTCAAAATAAGGCAATATTTTTTTTTTTCAAATTCATGTGATATTCTCGTCACTTATGCTAAAAAATTCTGTCAAAATTTGAGCTCTTAATATTAAAAAAAAATAACTGGTCCTTTTTTAGCATTAAATTATCTAAAAAAATCTTAGAGAGTCCAGTCTGTTATATTAATTTTAAAAGGTCCATCACTGAATTTAAAATTTTCCCATTGATTTAACATGTAAAAATAGGTTTTTAAGATTTATTTCGCCTGCATACTATGTAGAACTTTTTTTTTGATAAACAATCAATGGTGCTTTTTTAGCATTAAATTATCTACAAAAATATAAAAAAGTCCAGTTTTTAGATTCTACTCTTTCTTTTTTATTAATGTTGATACGTACAAATTCTAAAAAAAATGATATTTTTACATTTAGCGGCTAAAGTACTAATCGTAAAAGAAAAAGTTAATTAGCAATTTTGAAGATCTTTTAATGCTCTACAAATTTGTTTTAAACAATTTTTTTTCACCTACAGTTCAAAAGTTAGTGTCTAAAATCCTATTTTTATTATTCTGCATAATATATCATTATAATTAATAGGGATGGGATTTTAGTTATTTTACCTTTTTTCAACCGATGTAACTATTTGAAAACCAATAATGCCAAAATGTGTTTTAAAAGATTTTCTTTTATATGAACCTAACTTGTTTTCACCTTTTTTACCTTTTTTGGAGGTTTTTGCTTTAAACTACCTTTTTTATACTTTTCTTACCTATTTTTTTAACTAGTTTTCACCTTTTTTACCTTTTTTGGAGGTTTTTGCCTTTTTATAATTTTGTTACATATTTTTTAATTTGTCAGTTTATTTTCACATATTTGTTATCTATTTTTAAGTATTTTTACTTATTTTATTTTTTTGTGTTCTTTTTAAATTTTCCGCCAATATTTTATCCAGGGCGTGCAACTCAACGGTATATAATTTTTTCTTATGGTCACAGCATAGAAATTATTCTATTATTCTAAATTATTTCTATGGGTCACAGACTGTAACAGTAACTTTCTTTACAGTATTTCTTTGTATTGAGCTTATGTTCTGTCATAGAATTTCTGTGTAGTGAGTGTCACTCAGTGAAACACAGTTTATTGCATAGAAATAGTTTATTGTGGGTATGTTCTGTGCTTGTTTATGCGCAGGGTGGAACCCTGCGACTAAACAAAATTATAACTTGAACTTTTAATGTTTTTTTTACCTAAAACGCTTTTTTTAGTACCTTTTTAGTTACCTATTTTTCAGTTTTTAGTACCTAAATATTCCATCCCTAATAATTAATATTCACTGTAAGAAAAAAAATTTAGGGACAATTTTGCAGGAAACTCGAAAATCTATCTAGAGCTTAAATAACGTAACAAGATTCTTTTATGATATTCTTTATTTCATGATCCAGCTTTTGACTGCAAAAAAAATTTATACTTGGATTCAAAACAGTTTTGAAATACTGAAAATAATTTTTAAGGTTTTAAATTATTTTGAGTGTGTTGAAGAATAGGATTTTAGACATATAACTTTTGAACTGAAAATAATTTTTAGGGTTTTAAATTATTTTAAGTGTGTTGAAGAATAGGATATTAGACACTTATAACTTTTGAACTGTAGGTGATAAAAAAAATTGTTTAAACAAATTTGTAGAACAAAAGATCTTCAACGTTTTTGGCGCTTGGTTTACTTTCAAAAAGCGTCAATTAAAAACTAACCTGGCAATCGATGGAGTTTCTCATAGATTGCGTACAATACTTGACTTTTTCCAACCTTTTAAGCATGCGGAATTCACTTTCGTTTATGGTTATTGGAGTCTTCATAAGAAAAAATGAAAAAGTATTTTCCATCGTTGCTTCTTTTCCAGAAACGGTAACTGGAATAATGGCTGTAGCACACTGAGGTACCGATTCAGATTTCTATAAAATCAAGTCAATAAAAATAAAATTGGTTAACTTTTAGGTACCTTTTTAAAATAACCCAAAACACCATATGAAATAGCGCTGACCAAAACTTCAGAGAATCTTATATTTGGGAGTTTTTTCTTTACATTTTTTACGGCATTCACCAAATCAACATTCTCTTCAACGAACCAAACGGTAATTTTTTCGCCAGATAATTCTTTTCCATGCAAAATAGAAGCATCGTCATGGTTAATCATGTTTTGATTTATTGTGAAAGCAAAAGACATCAATATTATATAAAATCCTTCTATGAATATTTTTACATAATCTGAAACCGTTTTTTTGGCTTGTTGAATTTGAGTGTTCTCAGGAATATCATCGGAAAAGCATTGCAAAAAAGTTCTTAATAAAGCCGATCCGTCGCCCACAGTATGGTGAACTCTAAGAAGAAGAACAAAATTGTCTTTACCCTTCCACTTTAGCGGTTGTTTGGTAATCAAAATATGCCACATTGCCCGGTCGTTTTTAGGCATAGGAACATTACTATAATGACCAATAACATCTTCCATTTCGTCTGTGTTTGTTATCTGTATAAAATCCGGAAAAAAAGAAACACCTTCGTCGACTCCATACTGATTCTTCAAAAGAAATGTATACCCCATTTCATTCTGCCTGATTCCAGTGATTTTCAGGCAATTTTTATCGTAGAACTTCTTTTTCATAAGATTAATAATATTCTCGCGTATATTATCAATGGTTTTATCTTTTGCATCTATAAGCAAGACTGTGTTAATTATGTTTCGGGAACTTCCTTCAATCGCCCACACAACGTCTCCTCTACAGAGTAGGCCGCCATAGTTTTCACCATATTTTAATTTTAAATAGACGTGTGCAATTTTTCTAACGATTGCAAAAACGGATAGCAAGAAAATCGATAAAGGCACTATTACAACGGATAACATGTAAATCAAAGGCACACAAACTTTTTTCCAGGGTAATTTATGTGTAACTTTATCCTAGACAAAAATACATATAGGTACTCATGCATATTATACATATCACATACTTTTACCTTATAATCCCAAAAATAGGCAACTGATATCAAACAAATAAGAACACTATGAACAAAAATTTTAAAATGTATCTCAGCCAAATCATTTTTAATAACTGTAGAGTTTTGTCCATTTTTGTAGTAATTTTTGTCACAAATATCTTTAATTTTTTCCATTTTGTTATTTAAATTATTCTAAGAAAACTGCGAAAAAAGAAATGTGATAAAAGGACTTTATTTTATTTATATAAGGAAACAAGAAGTCCTAAAAGTTCATTCTTAAGAGCTTAGAATTCATAAAAAATAAAGAAGTAAATATGCATTGATTTTATTCGGTTAATTTATGTTTTCTAAGATTTCTAAGGTCTACAGTATGAGTATGATTATATGAGTATAAGAGACGTAAAACCGGCCCCATTGCCTCATCGCTCCCGGGCCCCGCATAGGCCTCTGTTTCCTTGCGCCGATTTTCTTTCGCCACCAGCATCGGCACGGCTTCACCCGTGTTTGCTCGTTGCGAATGTCCATTGCGCCCCGTACTGTCCCCTTTTTAAGGCTCGAGAGCGAAATGCCAATAGTTTTAGTAGCCATTCCTGGATTCGCCGAGCCGATGCTATACGCCCAGTAGGGTATAGAGGAGGTAGGACGGGAGGGATAGATATTTTGGTGTTTGGGGAACAAATACGCCGACTCGAATCTAAGTAAGACGCGGTACCCCCCTAGACCAGGTAGTTAGTATTACTCCAAATATTTGGGATTACTGTATGGAGTTCAGGAGTTGTTATTTTGTTGCAGGAGCCTACGTCTTGCTCTACGTTTTTGTCGGGTCAGTGTCCAAGTAGGATTGTTCCTGCACATGTGTCTTCAGTCTTGAGGCCGAAAACCATCAATAGATAGTTCAGTAGTTGGATATGTAACTTGTAGCTTTTGATGTTTTTTTTTAATTGTTTATTGCCGCAGTAGTGCGAAATTTCTAACATTTTTTTAGTTATTGTGTTGCCCAAGCACGTTTTGTGGTAGAATTGTTTTGTCTTTTTTTCTTAATTTCCAAAATTAAGTATTGCATTTATTTATTAGTTATAAATGACAAGCGCAATTATTCTGTTATAATCTAATGTGTTTACAAATCCAATAGAGTTTGATTAGTATGCTGTTTTTACTATGTTTGGGTTTTCATGATTTATTGAGTGTAAGTTTATATTTTAAGTGTCAAATGTTTATAATTGGTCTCGTTTGGGTTAAAATTAACGTGGTTTTGTTGGGGCCGTTCTTTAAGTTACTGGGTTTCATACCTTACGCATTTATTGTTGACAGATTTATTGTCCTACTCAGCTTTGGTGTATCACCGCGATAGTTCAAATGCGAGGTTTTGTTTTTTTTGTTTGTCTTTTTTCTTTATTATTTCATGGTGTTTGGTTAGTATTGTCTTTCTAATGTTTCTATTGTTACTTATGTTTATTGTTTTTTTTCTAGAGTTTAAGCAGTGCGCCTTTCTTAATAATAATAATAATAATAATAATAGGCTTTATTTCAGAGGACATATACATGTGTAGAAAACGTCAAGGTACATTTGAAAATAGACAAACATAAATACAATTAAAAATAGGTACATATACATAATAATAGTAATAATTTACAGGAACTAAATCTACATTAAAAGAAATTCACTTATACCATAATAACATTTGGACAACAAATATGACTTTAAAAGCGTTTTAAAAATGTTAATTGACTTAGCATTTTGAATGTCTAAGGGGAGTCTATTAAATATATGTATGCCTAAACTGTTCGGGGACTTTTTACCTAAATTTAGACGATTACATTGCGTTCTTAGTTCATTTTTCTTTCGGGTATTAAAATTGTGGATATCAGAATTCATTAAGAATTTACTTTTGTTTAAAAATACATATATGCCTAGCTCCAGAATTTGAACACATGGTACAGGCAATATTTTAAATTTTTTAAATAGTTCTCTACATGAGAAATCCTGTGGAACACCGGCTATGCATCTGATTATTCGCTTCTGGGAAACAAATACACGTTCAGCACCCGTAGATGAACCCCAAAAACAAATACCATAGCGGATTCTACAACCAACCTGTGCATGATATAAACATAATAGTTGCTCTATTACTAATATTTGCCTAAGATTTCTAAATAAATAAACCAAAGAGCTTAATTTAGAGATTAAAAGGTCACAGTGATGACTCCAATTTAGTTTTTCATCAAGAACTATGCCCAAGAAGCTAAAATGGTCCTTTCTGGAGATGTTAAAACCATCAATAGACAGATCTAAATTAAGAGATTCTTTAGACCCATGTCCCTGAGTATAAAATCTTAAATAATTTGTCTTGGCTGCATTTAAATATAAAGAATTGCAAGCAAACCAAGACGATAACAAATTTAAATTATTTTTACATTCCATCTCGAGAATCTGGCTACTCTTGTTTGACAGTATAAGAGATGTGTCGTCTGCGTATAGAGTGGTCAAACAGTTATTCTCAAGATGTAGCTCTAAATCATTGATGTATAGGGTAAATAACACAGGGCCAAGAATTGAACCCTGTGGCACACCCATGCATACATCAATGAGGTTGGAATTAACAGTGCTTTTATTTTGCAATAGATTATATTTAATTGATACATATTGCATTCTGTTACTTAAAAAACTATTCAACCAGTCACACGCTAGACCTCTAACACCATACCTCTCAATTTTTTGCATTAACTTACCATGATCAACACAGTCGAATGCCTTGCTTAGGTCACAAAAGATACCAGCAGGACACTCTCCTTTTTCAAGGCAGTTAATCAGGTTTGTATAACAAGACTGTATTGCAGTAGATGTGGAGCAATTAGCACGAAATTTGTCGATACATTATGGTAAATAATAAATTGCACCAATTAAATTTATATTATATTTATTGGGGGCGCCATGGGGCCGGTACGGCCGAGCAAAAATTTATAATTTTTTCGCAAACTTCAAATTAAATTCTGCTTGTGCAAAACTTGTTTATTTAAACTCATATAAATTTGGTGTGGGTTCCGTATCTAATAATTGAGATATCGTTATACCCAAAATCCACCAGCCGCCACTGCTTTTTATTGTATCTTGAGGTTTCCGTGGTTTTTCCGTCGATTTTAAATTTCTCCTTCCACTTTTTAGGTCGATTAATGCTTATGTAGCTATTTTTTTTTTATTTTCCACAAAATCATAATAAATGTTCAAGTATACAGCCGTTATTATCCACACAAAGTTGACAGCGGCGTAGAAAATTATGATGTGTCGTTGTTGCTATCATATCCTGTTTGTTTCTTGCAATAATGAATAATATCATTGTTTTTAGAGGTAAAAACAATAATGGTCCAGTGGTTTTGTCAAAAAAAATTTACAATTTTTTTATTAAAAACAAGTAGCTCTAATTGCAAAAATGACAATTTACGATGGTTGCCTTTTATATTTCGGGAATGGCCGAACCTGCTGATGCTATCGTACAACAGATGTTTGTGTCGTTAAGTTCGACCTTTTAGACGGTGTTCTTACTTAAAAAGTTTTCACGTGCGGGCGCAATTAGTATCATTAACAGTCACTTGAAAAAATAATGTCGGCCAAAAAAATGGAATTGACCCGTAAACATTTTCGTGCTATAATTTTTCCAACTTTAAACGGGGATTATCCCAACAATAATGCATCGATGAACTTAATTTGACTTTTGGCGACAAAGTGCCATAAAAAACAAGTGAATATCGGTGGTGTTCCGAATTCAATCGTGGTCCTGGTTCGCTCACCGACGAATTTCGTAAAGGTCGTCCAAAATCAGTCGTTCTCGCAAAAAACATTGATGCTGTGCGTGAACTGGTACTGCAAGATCGTCATGTGCCATATCGTGAGATTGGGTCATCCTTGGGCATTAGTGGGACCAGAATACATTCAACATTAAATGAACATTTGACCGTCAGAAAAAATTGTTACCGTTGGATCCCACATAATTTGTAAATCGATCAAAAAAAGGCTCGTGTCTAGTGGTCAAAAGAAATGCTTAAAAAATAGGATGGCGGTGCTTCAAAACATGTTCATGACATTGTAACAGGTGACGAAGTAAACAGCAGTCGACTGTGTGGGTCTTTAGTAGCGGTTGATGTGTTCAAAATGCATGTTTTGGAGGTGCCTCAGTCGGAGTGAAAAAAATGCTTCCAAAATTGGTTTAAGTGCATGTAAAAGTGTGTCGATCTTCATGGAGAATATTTTGAAAAATAATAAAGCCATGTACGATGATTAATTGTTGTTTGTTTTCTCTATTCCCGAAATATAAAAGGCAACCCTCGTATTAGGTGACACCCTGTGGTATTGTATTGTATGCAAATTTAAAACAAAAATAAAGTGTGTCTCGGATTAGATATGTTAATTAAATACCCTAAAAATTTGAAAATAATTTTTATCTCCACGCGGTCTATAATTTAAACTATATTGTTGTCAACATTCGATAAAGAAATACCTTGTTATAGCCTAGGCCGATAAAAATTTTTATGAAGCAAGTAATTAGTTCGATTTTTTCTCGCTAGGAGTATTGTTTTGACAAATTAATCCTTTTCTAAAAAATTAACGTACTAAACTGGTTTAATTTATTTATTATAAGCACTAATTTGGTTGTTTTACTGTTAATGTTTAATATTTTTCATTAAATTATTGTAAAATTAAATATGAATAATAAAACAAAAAGTGAGGTTAGGCAACCAAGAAAACGCACGATTCTTTTTCTACGATTTAAATTATCTTTAAGTATTAATTTGCTTTAAGTTTTCCGTGAAATTAAATGTTAAACACAGCTTAAACATTCCAAACTACCTATTTTTTAAATAAAAATCCAAACAAATTGAAATTAGATACCTACCTATTTATTAAACAATTAATTGAATTCAATGTAATAGCAAAAATCCATTTCTACTTAAATCATGTTGCTAGGTATTGTCAAACTATTACTGCTTCTAAAAGCAATAATAGTTATTTTACATTTAATGTAATCTTTAGCTAATAAATAAATGAGATTCTAAAAAAGTGAGGTTAGGTCTCTTTGATGTTGAATTAAATTGACCTATATAAAGTGCTTTGAAGATAAAAGGTTGTATGCCATTCGGCCAAGAAGTGCCTTTTTGTGCTTCCCTCAATTGTAGGCCTCCGCTACGCGTCGGCCTTCAAACCTTGAGCTTAGCACAAAAAGCC